TTTAAAAAGGTAATGCACGTTAGAAAGCAAAATACATTTGATTTCAAAGTACATGTATAATATAAGAAAGGCTATTAAAAACAGTCTTCGCGCTTACATGGATTCACTTTAACGCTTTTCAAGAGTAAAAGTCTCATAAGCGTGGTGTAGAAGTTGATTAAGGGGGTGCTAATTTAAGTGTCTTCCTCGACAATTGACTGTGGTTAAAAATTACGAGGTCTGTTATTAGTAGTCTGTGTTGCTTAGCACAGTAATAAACAATCAATCAATCACTCGACGACAGCCAACCAGATCCCCTGCTAGAATTATTTCGAATTATTAATGAAGTGGCGCGTTTATTCGGTAGGACAAAACCCGCGACCTTCGGTTCCGTAAGCACGTAACATACCGCGAGACCAAAATGATCATTTCTGTCCGGAGGCTGTTACTGGCTTATATAAGTGATACCGCTACACACTCCCCCACCAGTAAGTCAGTGGATAGGCAAACGAACGATGTAGTTGTTATGCTGAGCGTGTGAGTTGTTGCTATTAATTAGAGGAATTTCGTCAAGTGAGTTGAACAATTTTGTTAGCTGCGTCAAGTGAATCTGACGAGTTTTTGGTTGCTCTTTTAGCGGGTAGATAGCGCCACGACAGATCAGTTGGTTGTGCTTTTCTTAGTTCAGCCAGGTTCACCAATGAAAGGGCGCGCTTATCCGGTAGGACAGAACCAGCGACCTTCGGTTCCGTAAGCACGTGACATACAGATTTACCAAAATGGTCACTTCAGTCTGGAGGCTGTTACTGGCTTATATAAATGATACCGATAAGTAGCATCAAATTATGTAAATAAATAGTGTTTATTTGTTACGGAGTTCTTTTTAAAAAAAGAAACCTCAAGTAAAAATTATTCTACATCAGAGCAAAATTTTAAACGAGAACATAGAACGAAGTTTTATTTTAAACGATTTATCATGATTCGATTATTCGAATCACGCACATGAATAAGAAGAGGGGGAAGGGAGATACTGTATTTATTAAAGCTTACCTGGAGTACATATCCTCTTTTATATATTGGAAATTTATATTTTGACTAAGAAATTACAATCACGAGAATTTCATAGTTGTTTTATAATACATTTACATATATAATGCTATATTCTCCATAATCAGTTTGTGTGTGAATAGTTTTCTTTCTATGGTTGTTATGGATTAAACTATGGGTCTAGCGTTGTTTCCGCTTTTGATACTTAAAATATCAATTGCATAATATGAAAACCAGAAAATGTTTCAAATTTTCTATTACGAATCGATTCTGTTCCTTCAATGTGAATCGAATTATATATTAACATGCTATCATGCAAATACCTAACTATTACAAGGAAAATTCTTTGTAATTACTCTTATAACATCAGAAACTATTGGGCAGAAAGTACTAAACATTTTTTTATCCAATTTAAAATACAATGAAAGTACCTGCCGGGTCTGTATTTGTGTTTTTGTGTCAGTACATATTTCTCTTTCCGAAAAATTCAACGTATAAAAAAAAAGAAAAAAAAAAAAGAAAAAAAAAGAGTTTTTTTAAATGATAGTCATCCATTGCAAAAATCATAGTTGACTCGCATCATTAAAGTAGATAAACACATCATTACCGGCGCAAAATTCGAAGTTGAAATCGATTTCAAAAAAAAAAAGAAAGAAAGAAAGAAAAAGTCAAGGTTATTGAAGGAATAACATTTTATTTGTCTGTCACGGAATTATGATCGATAAATTTCTAAAACACTGAATAACACCGCTGTGTGTTTAAAGTAATAATGGTTTACGTTCGTATGAAAGCAGGTTTTCCCGCTTTATTTTATCAACTGTAGGTTTTGAAGAAGAAAAAAAAGGTTCACATTTAGCCGAGTTAGTTTGTTTCAGGATATTCAATATTATTCGCGGCAATAACAGATATTTTTCTATTCGATGAAATTGAAAGTTTCGTTGAAAGGGTCGCAGTTTAAGTATGTTTAATGTGGAAACTATAGGTGTGTGGTGTCATCAAAAGTAAGCCGCGGAAAAGTTTGTTTGAATAGAGATGGAATCAAATGAAAGACTTTTTAGATACTTCAAATATTTGTAAACCTTCGGTGTATGCAACCATATGTAATTTAAAGTAAAGTATAAAGCAAAGTGGAAAACAACGCTTATACTGTTCTGTGATTTCACTATGCTTAAGTTTGAATAAATTCTCTTATTTATTTGTAGTTGCAAGGTTACCAGACGTATTGCCAAGCCTAATGTTAAAAGGATCACCCAAACGAAAGTGGAACTACAGTCGGTTTGATAAATGGTTTAATGCTATTAATATAAATTAGTATACAAAGGAAAGAAGTAATACAGACGTAACAGGTAGGCTAGATAAAGTCACCTTGTAGATTGAAAGCAAGTGTCCCTACGGTCCACGACATGATGCATACCCTGGGTGAAGAACTCCTCTGTTGGCTATGGAATCAATTTTCAACAACAGCTTGGACCTCATTATGCTCGGGAAATCGCCGTCCCTTTAGAGCTTTCTGGAGAGGGCCGAATATGTGGTATTCACACGGAGAGAAGTTTGGGCTATAAGGAGGGCGCTGGATGTTCAAGAACCTTCCAGCGGAATTGGCGTTACACTGTTTGGCATGCCACAGCCACATGAGGATGAGCATTATCGTGCAAGGTAACTCCACTGGACACAGGATGTCACGTCAGCGGTTCTTGATATTCTTTCTCAGTTCAAGCAATGAGCACAATAAATGGCAGCATTGACAGTCATTTCGTTTGAGGCATCCATAATGTGAACGGTGCCTTTTAACTTGCTCCCACGCTATCACATGCGAATCTGGGGAGATCTGACAATATCGCAAGCATCCCCAGCACTTTGCGTCTATAGGGACATGCACAATCATCTTTCTCTTTCAAATTGCGGACTTTTTACAGTAATGCCACTTTCATTTGGGTGACCCTCATGCATGCAGTTGTCGAAAAAAAAATCCCACCATATATAGATTTTGATTTCCCTTCATTTTTTAGCCCCAAAAGCCCCCCCCCCCCCGCACGTACACTTTGAAGCTGTACGATGGCTATTGGTGACGAACCTCGTAGTTTTGAACCTTGTTTAAGTGACGAGAACGACACATATGAGATAGTATCCCATTCTCCAAACAGTCTCTACACGGCGTATTTTAAATGGCACAAGAACTCAAAAACACCGACCATTTCACGACCATGATCACTTGACTACCGTGGTCACATACAGATTCCAAATTCTAATTGTGTAAACAATTCTAACAGTTTATTATATTTAAGTAATGGAGTTTGCAGTGAACTAAATAAATAGTAAAGATTTAATGGATTTACTTTATCAGCAAAGCGGATTAAATTTTTTTTAAAAAGAGAATTTTATCATCATTGCCCTCCCTTCCCCTCCCCCCTTTCTCTATATATCTGATTTTCTCTTTTCTGAGTTTAGGCTAAACTTTAAACGTTTTGAATTTCGGAATCGTTAAGGCTTTAAAAGTGAATCCTCTTTTGTTAAAATTTCTCAAACATTTGATCAGTTGATGATTGGCGTTATTGATTATTCTATACAATAAAATTGCACTATTTTGTTTTCAATTTTAAAAATCTAAACTGTTATGTAATATAAAAATATGAGTTGTTGAATGTAATTACAAAAATAGAAATTTAATATGGAATTTTAATGTTTGGATTTTTAGCGGCGTAAGACCTTAATTTTAGACATTCATGTAATACCTTCCCACAGATCAGGAAAATTCAAGGCAAATTTATAATCAAAAAGTGGGAATCGTTACAGGGTCAAATACTGCTTTTTAAAGTTTAATTATCGCTTCCCTTATAACGCGATGTTCACAAAAAAAATACTTAAAATATCAGTTGCTACGTTTTTTCCCCCGTAAAAAAATATACCAATAAGGAAAAGGAAAACTTTTTTCTTTTCGATGTTATACTTCCTTATATTTCTAGTCGATTATTTCAGTCTTTGTTGACAAAATATTTAGTTACAATAAATCTCATCTCTAGAAAATACTCCAGAAATAGAGCAATTTTTTTCGTTAGAAGAGGCACATTAAAATACAATAAAATCAGAGGTCATTTTACAACCTCTGAAGAAGTTAATCTTAATCAAACCAATTCTATTCCAATTTTATCCTAACCATAAATTAACGTAAAGAAGATTGGCGAGACATATATCATTTCGCATAATGTTATGCCTCAAGGTTGTATAATACTACCATTAGTTTAAGTTAACTTTCAACTACTTGGCGTTTTTCTTTTGTTGCGTCTGGTATTTATATGTTGATTGCTATGTTGTTAACTAGAACTCAAACAAGATGCGATTGTTAACATCATGTTTTACAATTCCTGTAAATACACATTTAGTAAACGTGATAAATGAGATATTAGGGCGTTTGGAATTGTTATAAGCGCTTTGTAAAAAGGTGAAGATGCTCTGTTGAGTACGAAAAAAAATTAGTTCCAACAAGTTTTTTTTTCACACATATATTATTTCTTGCTTTTGATAAAATTAAGCTCTTGTTTAGTTAAAAAAGTTTTTTTTTTATGGAAATGGTAAGTATAGCTCAAAGATAAATTTCATTTTTACCCTTAATTTGCATTTGTATATTTGAAACTATTACATATGTATTAAGATGGATCGAGGTTATATGAAAAAAATTATTAAACAGACCCTACCTACAAAGAAAAGATGCTCTATATCATGATGATAAGGAGAAAAACAAGTAATATTTTTTAAAAATTTGTCAATTTCTACCTAGGTCAACAAAAAAATTTTTTATTTTAGTTACTTTTTATTAAATAATTACAATTAATATAAATATGTTATATACATATAACACAATCACAATATTAAGTAGCAAAATAGAAAGTGATTTTCCTTTCTATATATGGTGCTGTACTATTATTTTTGTTTGTTACTATTTATTCATTCATAAATTACATTCTCAGAAATTAGGCCAGCTCAGGTGGGAATCGAACCCACTACCTTTGAATCAGAAGTCCAACGCGCTATATATTGCGCTGTAGGGACACAATGAACGATTTTCCTTTTTATACATGATGTCGGACTATTATTATTAATTAATTAATTAAAGTTTGAAAAAACTATATTAACATCAAGTGTCATCCACTAAAACTTTAAAATATGTATTTGAACTTGAATGGATGAATAAAAAGTATTTTATTAACGATTGAAAATTTGAACAAGATATATATATATATATATAAAAAATGAATATATATAGAGAGAGTGTGAACTAACGGTAGGAATTAAATAATTTTTTTAAAAAATTTCGAAATTTAAAATTGCTAAGTTTTTAAAAAGTTGGAAAAATACTTAATTTGGGGTTGGATGATTTTAGACTCAAAATTATTTTTTCTACGATATAAATAACCAAAAGTGATGATTATTGACAATTGAGTAGTGAATAGTACAATGTACAGTGCAACGTTTCATAAACCCAGCTCTCTCCCGACACCATTGAACCAGTCCGATCCAACAATGCCGATTTAAGCTAATTTCGGGCCCTGTGCGCAGAAGATCTAAAGGGCCCCTTCGCGCTGGTGGATCGAAATTTATTACCAGAAAACTTGGTTCAGTCCAGTTTATCCAGGCCCCTGGGCACCCGGCCCAACGCCCAATGGCTAAACCGGCACTGCGATCCAAGCTTTTTCTCGTCTTCCTCTTCGTCGAGCCCTGGAATTTCGACAATAGGTTTTTTTTTTAATTTCAAAACCAAAGAAGCTGTTAAAATGTACCTGATGTGTTTTTTTTCTTGTAACTATATATATAAAATATGTGCCCTCTTATCGCAATAAATGTTAAAAAATATTGAAATAAATTTTTCAATTTAAAAAAAAAATTACTTTGACTTTTTGCTATAAAAACGCTGAAATGCCTTAGCTTCATTCCTTTTGCTACAGTACTTAAGGTATCCGACTATGTTGAAAAAGTGCTTTTTAGGTGTTTGATGTTTGGTGTTGTTTGGGTCATTAGGGAAAAAAGAAATTCATTATTGAGGAAGAAGGACTAATACATAAAACTAGAGAGTTTTTTTAAGTTCTTTTTATAGCATTTACTTTATCTAACTAATAAAAATATTTTTTTTAATTCGTTTTTTGAAGAATGAATTTTTTATGATAATTTGTGCACGAAAAACGAGATATCTTCTAAATAATCCAATCAAATGCAATGAAATTTATAACATATATGCTATGGGCCTTTCAGAGTGTAACAAACCGCAGGTTTTAAGACAGCTACATTTAATCACATTTTACAGTCATTTTTAGCTTAGAACATGCAGTAATTTTGACGAGAAAAATCATGACCATCAAATTTAAATGCTAATACAATATTTATTTCTTAAACTATTTTTTATCCTGCGGTTTGTGACACTTTAGAGGGAACAAGAAATATATCAATGACGTTAAAATTGCATAATGTGCAATTTATTTTTATTTATCACGTTTTTCTTAACTTAAAAAATTTTGCTCAATTTTACTAAAAATAATTTTTTTTCTCTAAAAAAAAAAAAAGGGCGATACATGCTAGTTATTTAGTAGTTATGACTTTTTAAGCCTATTTATGTTCTTTAAAACAATAAAATTATTCAGAAAATCAATTTTTGAAAAGTTTATCTCCGAACCTAGTTGGATACCTTAAGGCTGTTTTTCCCATATTACCAAGAGCGTGAACTTAACGCGGAGCACATTTTCGGACAGAGAAAAAGTCTCAATGTTTATAAAAATTTGTGACATTGTAACTCATGCATTTGTTTATAAGATAGTGTTTTTATAATTTAAAAGTATTTCATAAATAATTTGTTTTTCCTTTTAACGTGTTAAGGGATAGATCATTTAGCATTACGGTACAGGAGAAAAAATGCGAAGCACTTTATATAAAAGAAAAAATGAGTCAAAAAACTCGGATAAAAATGAGTAGTATGATAAAATAAGTGATTTTCTACAGGATAGCGTAGCCAGAATATAATAATAATGTTTGAGTACTTTTATATTTGAAAATATATTCCGAATTTGGTTTCTTTCTTTAACATTAGCCGAAGACAGCTTTAACATAAAAATTAATTTTTTATTTCATTGTTCCCTTCACCTATATACCAGCAAACATCTTTTCCACTTGGGTAAGTTTTATAATTCTGAAAAAAGAAAAGAAAATTTCGATCCACCGTAATATATTCAGTCGGACCACGTTTTAACGAATTCATTGGGTCCGAACATTTTATTCATTAATTCGAGGTTAATCGTAATATAGAAGTCCAAAAGAAATGCAAATTTTTTTGCACTTACCTTATGAAAATTCTATAATAAAGAACTGCACAAAAAATATTCTTCGTGAGAAATTACATACTTTTTATTCAGCTGCTGAAAATATTGGTACCATTGGATGAGGCGCAAGAAAAGAATTTCCTGCTCAATCCCAAACTCACGCGATAGGTTACACTCATGACTCATCTGCACTTGATAAGTCTAATAATGGGTTGAACCCTTTTCCGTCGAAATTTGCTGCTGACAAGAAAAGTCTTTCTGTTCCGGACAAAAAGAAGTGTCATATGATAAGAAATTCTATTTTTTTAATCCAATCTTATAAAAAATATTTCAGATGTTGAAATAATTCGTTAAAAGTATGCGTTTATTATTCGTTAAATAGGGGGTAGGGGCCCATTTTAATCGAAGGAAAAGACAAATTCGTTAAATCGCAAAATTCGTTAAATAGGGGTCCGATGGTGTGTGTATGTGTGTTTTAAGTACTTTTTAGATATTGAATCAGTATGTAACTTATTTTTTTACTTCACGCTTTTGTTTTTTTCCCGATGCTTTACTTATTCCATTATTAATTAATAAAGTACTTAAATTATTATTTTTACTGTACCACCACCTATTTTACCGAAGAATTAAATGTCTGAATGCAACAAAACTGATAATTAAAACCAACTTCGGCACTTCCTTTCATGTTTGAAATATACGACTGTTTTAATTAGTAGTCATCCAAAAGAGAAATATATTTCAACCTTCTCAGAAAATTAAATCCAGAAAGTTCGTTACCTAAACCTTTTTTAGATTGCTCATCTGTGGAAGCGAACGTACATCAGTCGTTACGCACTTTCCCGCAGAAAGCACTCAATATTTTTTTCCCTCTTAAATTCTATTTTAAAGAATGAAAGAACGCCGCCATTTTCCAAACGGAAATTACTCGCGTCATTTTTATACCCACCATTGCCATTCCAGGTACATAAATTCAGACCTCTTCCATTGCCCTTCGCATTTATCTCTTCCTGCATCCTTACTTCTTGATGTTAACTGTATCTTCAATGGCGGCATTTCGAGTTGGCGCTACGACCATTCGACGAAACTTAATTGGCGAAAAGTTTCTCAAAGAAACTCATTTCTGCGCCAAAAATATGGCCGTTAAACCTGACGAGGCGAGCAAATGCTCGTCTGAGAAAACTGCGCATGAATTATTGGACCTATTAAGAACTCTAATTTGAGAAGAGGACCTTTTTTTTTCTTCGCCAAGGACCTTGTCACTGGAAAGTGCCGAAATGGCCTCGTGGGGTGCTCGAGAATGGGGTTAATTCGAATTTTTAGGCGGGAGTACTCTTTTCTTCGTTTACGAGCCAGTTGTGTCTTTTTTCCAAGGAACATTGCAGAAAACCCAAAAACAATAAATGGGATAAAAGTTATAAGGGAACCATTCTCTCTGAATATTTGAATAAAATTTGAATTCATGTATAGAAGATGTTAAACGTAGAAATCGGTTTCCTTTCGTAAAAAATTCTCATATGATGTGCGCTGAAGACGATATATAATTTACACGAATGTTTCAATTTTGATCCTCCTCTTTATTTCTATTCCATCTTCTTGTCTTAATTTTCAGAAACTGTTGCTTATATTTCTAAGGAACTTTCTATGTGGGAAAAAAAGGATTTCAAGTATATAAAAAAGTTTTCTGTCTCTCAGATCATTGTTTGACTGAGGTTTGTGATATAAGACTCGAACTATAAGTGTGTGTGAGTCTAATATATTTTATTTAATTCTCAATGTAAAATATCCTTTCATAATTTATTTATTTAACTTCGTTTAGACTACTGTGGTAAAATAAACAAAACTATGAATTTATTTGCTGGACTATGGACCAAATTGTGGGTTTAAATATTTCGAAAAACAAACTGATGATAATTGACTCAAGAAGCCTGTTTTGCAGAAATTTACTTCTGAAAAACTTTACAGTAATGTGATGTGAAGATAATCTTTTTTTTTTTTTAAGTTTTTACAATCCAAAAAATGTCCTTGCAATCATATCAACATTGCATATCCATTTAAGAAACTATACATTACATTTGAAAAAAGACTCAGATTTTCATCTTATAAAAATTTCTCGATTTCACCTAAAACTTTTTTTTATTTCTAATGGGCTGCAGATTGGTGTTTTACCATTGCAGACCTAGTACATCCCCGGAAGCTGGTATCTCTTTTTAGTGCGGCATCATAGTAAACGAATACCAATCGCCACAGGTAATTTTGATGCCCAATTTCCTCCCTAGAGGGAGGCACCTGAACTCTGATGATGCGAGCTTGTACTAGGATTTAATTTTGTCGAGAGCACCTAAGCCAAACAGACACTCTGGGGATCTTTTACATGCCGTATAATCATACGACATGGCCGCTGTCGATTTTCTGCATCATGAAAATCCACCAACTTGGGCCGGGGTCGAACCCACAACCTTGGGTGCAGAAGGCCATCGACAAACCAATTACACCACCCAGCCGGCTTTTTCACCTATAACTAACCCTGTAGATTAATAGAGGCTACCTTTTGAGAGATAGAATTGAATTTCCTGATGTAGTGAGAAAGAAGAGTGAGAGATTTGTTCAAGGGTCATTCTCGTCTCTTTATTGTAGTTCGCAAGATCCGTTGCCATTAGCCCTTATGTGACTGTAAAATTAGCTTGTATTATGAAAATGTATACGTGTGACTACTTCGAAAGAAGATATTTGCTTTCTTGA